ACAAGACTGTTAATGCGTGTTGGTTGTTCTTTGATGTTTGTAATAGAGGACAGTAAGGAAACGATGTGCTCAGGTAGAAACTAGTGGACCAAAGCAGAAGACTACTGAGAAGGTCTAGAAATTTGGTTCTGTACCCCAGCAACAGGAGGTAGGATTGCTATGACTCGTGGCTTTTCCCAAATGCCTCCCAATTAGGAAAACTAAAGGATCTAGCACTGTGCAAGTTTATATTGATGGTTTGGCCTCATTTTACCTGTTAGTCAGATAGCCTCGAAGGAGACAGCATTTCAATGAGAGCAATGGATAGACATGGAAACAAGGAAGTAAAGTGGGCTTGAAAGCATTGTTCCAAAAAGAAATCTGAGCGTGTTGTTGTTGGCACATGGCACTGAATGAAAACAGACACAGAAGCCTATCGGGTTTCTCAGATACTTCTATTTCCACAGCAACCAAAAGCCTGCCCTGAAAATGTCCTCAGACTCCAAACCGATACCTCTAGGAAGGGGGCTACTAAAATTTCAGTCTTCAGGATCCAGGATCCAATATCCTGGGGGCCAGGATCCGCTTCAGACACGGCCTTAAAGCGTGAAGCACTAGGAAACATTCCCGAGAGGAAAAATTTGGACTCACAGAGAACATGAGAAAGGACATGACTGCCAAGACAAGGAATCTTCTCAACTCCTCTCTGGTGTAATAATCTCTTTGTTCCAGAGCCGAGTGTGTTCCATTCCTCCTCTCTTTTACTAGGAGTGTTTTAGTTCACACGCAATCATTGTAATTGGATGTGTGTATGGGGCAATAGTTTTATTTTCTAGGCTGCCACATGCAGCCATATATGGACGTGATGCAGAGGTCAGAACATCACCCAGAGGTCCTGTGCTTTGAGCTGGATACAGAAATTGGGTAGAAATTTAGTTTATGTTCCTTGGCAAGGGAGAAGGGTGCAGAAGGATATTTAGTGGCTGAGGGGCGGACTGTGACACAAATTAGTAATTGCTCACTAAAATTCATTCTTTCTTTCTCCTGAAACATATGCCTCTCCAGTCATATACCATCAGTCAATTTTCCTTATAGTGAGTCAGGTGTGGCCATGTGATTGGTTCTTACCATTAGTAAGGGAGAAGAAGTAATGACTACCATTTCTAGTCCTGGGTCTTAAGACACTGGGTATTTCTCCTTGACATCCTCTCTCCTCTTTCTCCTTCCCATTTGATGGACACAGACGTGGCTGTGACCTAGCTTTCACCATGAAGATAACTACAATCCCCTGGACGATGGTGCAGTAACATGTTGCTCAAGGTTGACTCTCTATGCAACTCCCTACTGCTCTGCATCCTGGAGGCTTTATGGGCTCCATTAATAGCTCCCTTGTCTTCCGGCTTCTAGCTGGGAGGGTGAAGGGGAGTTAAGTCAAGATATTTATTTCCTTTGCTTTCTCTCTGCTGAGTTGTCACAGGGTGGCTCCCTCCTTCTACCAATGACCACAGCATCTTTTGCAATGGTCTCTACTTTATCTATTCTCTTCTGATTTTAGTAGCTGCTTCCATAACTTGTTCCTTCAAACCTACAGTTAGAAAGAGTTCTTTGCCTCCCCCGCTTCCACTCCCCATCTCTCCCTCTCCATTGCTAGCACTGAGGTGTTATATTGTACCTTGTTAGTTTCCCTTAATCTTCCTACTCTTGTGTCAAGAGTCCCCTTAAAGAGCTTCCTTCAATAGCCTTGTTTGAGTGTGCCTTCTCTTTCCTGTAAAATCCTGACCAGCAATGTCTCTGAATGGCCCCATCAAGGGAAGTTGTCCCATCAGTCACTCTCCTGAACTGGAAAATGAAAGACAAAGACACATTTTTTAAAAAAGACATTGTATTTTTGCTCTGTATAATAGTTTAGTCTTACCCTAGTTAATAGAGTATTATATTCCTTTTAGAAGTTTGTTCTTTTCATAAAAATTTCAAATTTGTTGGCATAAAGTAGTTCATCAACTCCTCTTTTTATCTCTCTAATGTCTATAGAATCTGCATGTCTTATTTTTCATTTTTGACACTGGATAATTGAGCCATTCTTTTTCTTGATAAGTCTTACCAAATGTGTATTAGTCTTTATTAATCTTTTTAAAGAATGAACTTTTTGGCTTTTGTTGAATCTCTACATTATACATGGTTTCCTGTTTTATTAGTTGACTAATTATTATAACAAAGTACTTCCCAAGCTTGGCATTTTAAAACAGTCAGAAATTTATATGATGATGCACAATTTTCATGAGCAAGGTCAAAACTGTAATGTTTTTATATAACCTAGCCTTGACAGTCACATATCATCATTTCTAGAATATCCTGGGGGCCATCTTGGCTCTGGCTACCATATAGGTTTTTGATCTTATTGTCACTACTTTCCTTCCCGAGCTGAACTACCCCTAATCACCACCTATATCCCCAGGCACATCTCTGACAATAAAGAGAGAGACAAGGGAAGGGATCACAATGAGTCATCAAAATGCAGCATTTATTAGGAGGGGAAATACCCCTGCTTCCCACACCAAGAGAATATCACCTCAAGATTGGGAGCACCTACATGAAGGAGAACCCCAGAGCCTTGTGACTTTCTTAAGCCCTCTTTGTGAAAGGACACACTGGTCTTTCAATAATCAAATCCCCCAAATGTCTGTAGGAGTTTTATCATCCAGCCTTTCCTCAATTGGCCTGGGGAGAAGACAGGGCAGGGCCAATTCTCAGGATCCCACCGACATAGCAATGCCCTTAGTCATCCCGTCTCTGGCTTTCCATGTTGCCTCTAGTCTGATAAACTTTGTACAATCTATTAGGTATAAAGATTAGGAACGGAGAATAAGACTTTATTTTTAATTGACTATATCTTAGTTATTGCTCATAGTTATTTTTTTTTTTTTCTGTGTCTCTCTGATTATTAGGCTTTTGAAACTTAAAATCCAAGAACTAACTAAAACATTCTGCTGGGTCATTCCTCCCCTGAATCAATCGGAACTACAGTCTTACTGTCTAAATCAGAAAGGGCTGCATGGGCTACATAGTAGAATTTTACCCCGATATGACACTTGTCAGCAAAACTTAGATCTAATTGAGCAAAAATCTTTAGGAAATAAAGAAGCCTCCTCAATTCTCCATCCCCAGAAGAGAGGGGGAAAAAAATCAACTAATTACTCCCCAGCAGAAGTCGCAAAAGGAGAAGAGGGTGGGGTGCATGGGCAGACTGACTCCCATTAGCTATTTGCTAAAGGCTGTCCTGGTTTTTGAACAGAAAAAGAACATTTTTATTCATTCTCATCAAACTAAGGTTGAGTTGGTCCTTAAGACAGGACTTTTTTTTTTTTTTTAAGATTCTATTTATTTATTTGACAGGGAGAGATCACAAGTTGGCAGAGAGGCAGGCAGAGAGAGCCGGGGAAGCAGGCTCCCCACTGAGCAGAGAACCCAATGCGGGCCTCGATCCCAGGACCCTGAGATCATGACCTGAGCTGAAGGCAGAAGCTTAACCCACTGAGCCACCCAGGCGCCCCCATATTATTTATTTGTGACTCCTCAGGTTGAAGTCTGTGGGATGTTTGCTTAATAGGGTGTGTATTGAATTAACCAGAGGGCAAGTTTAAAGCAGTTGAAGGTCACAGCTCTAAGGCCCCATTCCATGGTTAAAGAGTAAGCTGATTAGAGTACTTCAGACCCGAATAGCCCTACACAAAAAGGCGTGTTAAAAAGGAACAGATTAATGGAAAGAACCTAGATGTCCATCAACAGATGAATGGATAAAGAAGATGTGGTACATATACACAATGGAATACTATGCAGCCATCAAAAGAAATGAAATCTTGCCATTTGCGACGACGTGGATGGAACTAGAGGGTATCATGCTTAGCGAAATAAGTCAATCGGAGAAAGACAACTATCATATGATCTCCCTGATATGAGGGAGAGGAGATGCAACATGGGGGGTTAAGGGGGTAGGAGAAGAATAAATGAAACAAGATGGGATTGGGAGGGAGACAAACCATAATTGACTCTTAATCTCACTAAACAAACTGAGGGTTAATGGGGGGCGGGGGGTTGGGGGGGTGGGATTATGGACATTGGGGAGGGTATGTGCTATGGTGAGTGCTGTGAAGTGTGTAAACCTGGCAATTCACAGACCTGTACCCCTGGGGATAAAAAGATATTATATGTTTAAAAAAAAATAAAATTTAAAAACTCAAAAAAAAAAAAAAACAAAAAACCTCATCCAAGATGGAAAAAAAAAAAAAAAAGGAACAGATTAGCCCTGTTCCGCCCTAAGGTACCCAGGGAGGCGGGGTCTCTGTCAGAGTTTCCAGAACCCGGTTTCTGGTGTCTATACCAGAAAGGCTACAAGAGGGCTCTGGCAGTTTCCTGGTGCCAGTCTTTGCTTTTATCCATGGCCTAGGTGCCTGACTGGCAGTTTGTACCTAGAACAAACACAAGAAGAGAAGGGGATTTGTCAGTATTTGAGCATCAGCTTTGCTCCAGATCTGGACCACAGGAGGCTGAAAACGTCAGGTGTAGGAGGTAGTTTTGCTTCCCGGTTAGCAAGGGGCCCTGGGTCAGCTGGAATGCTCACTCACCAGAGCATGCACATCTTACTGTAGAAAGAATATTGGGGATACTGGATGAAAAGCATTGACTTTTTGAGAAGTCTGGCTTCTTATTGGACTGTCACTCACTTGACTTAGGACGTGGTGGGCATTATGTAATCGCTAGGCTTCTTTGCATAAGAAAAGCTGGGCACGCTATTATTGGTTTTGTCATTTCTGTACAGTTTCACTTATCATATGAGTGAGGGTTTTTTGTTTTGTTTTGTTTTGTTTTTAGATTTTATTTATTTGAGAGAGAGAGAGCACAAGCTGGGGAAGAGGTAGAGAGAGAGGGGAAGCAGACTCCTGGCTGAGCAGGGAACTCTACGTGGGGCTCGATCCCAGGATCCTGGGATCATGACCCAGGCCAAAGGCAGGCACTAAACTGACTGAGCCACCTAGGTGCCCATAACTTTTTTTTATTTTTACTAAACATGAAGATTGACAACGGAGACAATAAAATCGAGTAAACCTTTACTAAGAGAGTTATTTAAAAGGGAGCCGGGAGGACACCGAGGAGGTGGGGCTTATGCACTTGTTCTGGATCAAATTCTCGGAATTTTCGCTAAGCTCAGCTCAAGTCCCGGGCATCTACTAGGTGTTAAGATGGACATGAATGGACTTTCTGCCTCGCCCTAGCAACCAACCACACACAGCTTAGCGTCACTGTAAGTATACCAACACCAAGCCCTTTTCTTCAAACAACTTAGGTAAATCTCTTCTTTCCTCTTTAAAAACTCTAACCTCTTTGTCTCTCTGCAGCACGCTTTCAATTCGAGTCGAATCTGTGTCTCCCATGTTTGCAATTCCTAAGACCCCAAATAAACACATTTATCTTGCTGCTTGTCATTTTGTGTTTTCTTGGTTGACAAGACTTGGGGATGTCTGGAGTTTAGAGCAAACAGTACAGAGCTTTGTGGAATATCGTGCCTATGAGAAGTTTTCTGTGCTTCACAGAAGCCACGGTGCTTCCCTGAAGCACAGAGCCATTATTGGCGTACTCGGTGCTGATTTTAGGCTTCTCAGATAAAACATTCTGGATGCGAAGTACCTGTCAAGAAAAAGATTATTCGTCAGTATGCTACATGAGCAAACAGCTGCTAGTGACATTTTCCTTCTCCAATACTCCAGGACTAATATATCTCCCAGAAATCGATACACTGAAATTTGTGTACAATTATTTTTTGGGGGGTATTCTGATGAAAGTATTAATGTTCTAATTATGTCTGTGCAGTCAAGTGGACTGGTTATCTGACATTCACCAAATTCACAGCAATTTCGATAGTTCGGGCATCTCCTATAGAAGAAGGAGGTGAGGGGGTGCCTGGATGGCTCAGTGGGTTAAAGCCTCTGCCTTTGGCTCAGGTCATGATCCCAGGGTCTTGGGATCAAGCCCCACGTCGGGCTCTCTGCTCAGCGGGGAGCCTGCTTCCCCCTCTCTCTCTGCCTGCCTCTCTGCCTGCTTGTGATCTCTATCTGTCAAATAAATAAATTTAAAGGAAAAGAAAAAAAAGAAGGAGGTAAGAACCAGTGGGCGCTCTTATCTAATTCTTGAGTGAATAGTGTTCGTCTGGGGGAAGGGTCTTGCCTTTGACTAGGCCTACTGTGTGGGGAGGGAAACACAGGACAGAGAGGATGAAGGGACATTCTGTTAGCAAGCCAACCTAATCTCGTAACCAGTAGGGTGATACTTGTCCCAGCTGGAACCCCACTCGTATCCATGACGTGGCTCAGAAGCATAAAGAATGCACACTTTGGAAGTCAATCTGACACATCCCACCTACTACTGTTATTCATTCTCAAGATCAACACACTTAAGTTTGTTCATCAGTAAACATATAAGAGCTCAGTTTTCTGAATAGCCTGGAGGAAGTTCACTGAAACAGCACATGATAGGAATTAAAGAAAACCAATTAGAAATTCACGAGTCATGAGTATGTATCGACACTTGTTAGGAACAGAGTTGAGTTGAGTTTTGTTTTTTCATCTTAAGGAAGATCCTGTAACTTCATCTCGGGTTTGTTACATGAAAATACTCAAACTTGGAACTCACGTAGATAGAAAAGTGAAGCCTCAACCACAAGGGAAGGGTGTCATTGATTGTGAAGGAAGAAGCCTTATCTACAATAAACATTATGATGAACTTGAAAACAGAGACATGAGAAAGATCCTGAACAATATTCCAGACATGTTCTAGATCATATTTTCATTCTCTTACAGCAGACATTATTGGGCGTTTGTAAAAAGTAATATGGCTCACTTTTGGGGGGCGTGTGTCTGAAGCCCAGGTAGATTGCTAGCCTGGGGTAACAGTTCTTTAGGCTCTAGATTCAGACTGAACTTTTGTTTCTCTTCGTATTTTTGGGTGTTTCTGCTTGCTTGTTTGTCTGTTTTTAAGATGCTGTGATTAATATGTTAATAAATTAGAGAAACAGATTTTTCTTCTTTTTAACTGAGGAAGAGCAATATTGGAAGCAGAAATCAGGGTATGTTACCAGGACCAGTTACCAGGCTGGGATTTAAATCTCAATTTCCCAACTCCCCAAACCTAGATTCAAACATTATATCTTTCTCCAAACCTTACCTTCTCAATAAGCCTACGCTGATTCCTGTATTTAATAATAGGACTGCCCATCCCCCTTTTCACAGAAATCCTGATCCCCTCTACCCTGTTATACTTCTTTTCCCATAGAACTTACCACCTTCAAGTTTGCTATATAATTCACTAACTTCTTACACTTATTGTGTTCATTGTCAATTCCCCCTCCAGAAGAGCGGAAATCTTTGTATATTTTGTTTTCTGACATATTCCAGGCCTTGGAAAAAAGTTTGGCCCACTATAAGCACTCAATAAATTTTTGTGAATTAATCTCTCAGAATTTGTGTGCCAAGAATTTATATCTATATTGAATTTACTAGAGATTTGTTATTCTTAAACTCAAAGCTATAGAAAAATTCTCCTCCTGTTTTTAATGCCATATAAAATTCAATGGTATACGCTATTGTTTTAGAAGATTTTTTTTTCTTTTTCCTTTTTACATAGGTTCCATGCCCATCCTGGGGCCCAACATAGGGTTTGAACTCACAACCCTGAGATAGAGACCCGAGCTGAGATGGAGAGTCAGATGCTTAACCAACTGAGCCACCCAGGCACAGCTATTTTAGAAGAGATTTAAATAACACAAATAGCATCTTTAAACTGAGACATTCTTCAACACTATCATATACATTAGAACCTGCTGGCAAAACTAGTTTTGTTTTGAGACTACAATCATTTAAATCCTTTCTTTTGAGCTTCATAGTAATGTGAAAGCAGATGGTCCCATATAGGACTTTCCCTTTGCCTAACTTCAGGCCCTTCTCAGAGCCTACATCCTGATTGGAAATATGATATGGCAAGCTAGGTCAGTGTGAATAATGAAGCTCCTACTTATCTATTCTTCCCAATAACAAGCACAGCCCTAGCAAGGATGGGACATGTTGTCTAGCACTGGTGTTAAATTGGCATCAGGAGACCTGAAAAGGTTAATGGGCTGTAACTCTCCATCCTGCTAAAGTCTCTGCTTTTTCCATATGCAGAACTTGTTCAGTTCTGGAACACCGCATGTGACCCACTAAATTCTCCCAAGTCACCTCAACAAATTGTTCTTGCAGCTTTGCCTGTGAGCTCAGAGAAATACAGGCACTTACTTCGGACCCTGGAGGATCCTCAGGGTTATAGGCCAGCAGCTTCATGCCGTTAGGATGGCATCCGGCCCAAATATCTCCCGTGTCTGGATCCACCATCAAATTATCCACTAAGGTGCCCAGATGTATCACCTTCCAACAAATAGGAAATACAAAGACGTTGTTTCAACTTTCTTCTCGACCCTTCCTCCCTCCCACCAGCTCCTTCTGGCTCCTGAAATGGGTCTTTTTAAGGGCCTTACTATTGAATTTTAGAAGTTCAAGCACAATCTCACCGATATTCTTCTAAAATGGTCATGTTTCCTGCATTCAAGGAGCACATTCCTAGGTCAGGCGTGGGAACCGATCTAAGAGGCCACATGGTGGGGGGACAAGGCAAGCCAGGAGAGTTTTACCTTCACTGGAGTTAAATCCCAGTTCTCATGTTTTTTCAAGACATGAATGTTCTGAGCAGTTGTATCAGCTGTGTAGATAAACCTTTGAAGAAAATAGCATTTAGATGTAAGCAAGTAGTAATCAGAGATGACATTAACTTTTACTTTGGAGGAGAGGTCTAACAATTCACAAGGGTTCCAAGTGCCCCTGCAATGTCTTTCTAAAGCTCGGTACAAGAAGATAACAGAAACTTATTTTTAGTATTCTTCAAGAACTTGAAGTAAGCATTAAATATGAGATGTGACTATAAAGTAATGACCTTGGTGTTTCTAGGTGACATATAAGCTCAGTCTCATTACTTCGGAGCCACAACGTATTCCTTAAATTGTGTGGAGTTAAGCAGACCTCTTTATTATAAGTCAAAAGAGTCTATACTTCCACAAGAAACTAGTGCTTACAAAGAAGTATCAGATGACCATGAAAGTCAATCATAATCATTTTTTAAAAAGAGGTGGAACTTAGAGGGGCGCCTGGGTGGCTCAGTGGGTTAAAGCCTCTGCCTTCGGCTCGGGTCATGATCCCAGGGTCCTGGGATCGAGCCCCGCATCGGGCTCTCTGCACAGCAGGGAGCCTGTTTCCCTTCCTCTCCCTCTGCCTGCCTCTCTGCCTACTTGTGATCTCTGTCAAATAAATAAATAAAATCTTTAAAAAAAAAAAAAAAAAAAAAAGAGGTGGAACTTAGAGATGTTTTCTACAGGGATCATCTCTATTATCTCAAATGCACATAGTAATATTCATTGGGTACATTTCTTTTTCAAAAAACCTTCCAATCTAAAACACTTTAAAAGAGCTTCTCATAGAATTTCATGCTGCATAAAATCGTATTTAGAAAAGTCTGCTGTTGTATATCAGTAAATATGAAAATCACAATGCCCAATCTAAGTCAGGTCTCCTTTTCTAAAAATAACTTTTGGATAACTCAACTTAGTGTAAGTAGTTAAACACCTTTTAGCCTCATAAAGGCAGAGATATTGGGCATTTATTCTCCTTTTCAGTGTGTTGGGTAACTGTTTCTAGAGTCACATGGTAAATTGGACCAAGGACCTCACATCCTTGAATCCACATCCTTCATTTCATTGTGGGGGGGGTGTGGGGAGGCCAACATGCAAGATGGCAAATGGTGTGTTTATGATCACACACAGAGTGTGAACCCTGGCCACACCTGACCTGTCCACCTATCCAGTGATGACTTAAGCTTAAGGAGGTAACCACCTCCCAAAGGAAGGAATCCACTAAAATGTCAAGAGCAAAGTATTGGAAAATTATAAAAGCTTACTTTTTGTCTAGTGAGACTGTGATCCCATTGGCAAAACTGAATCCTTTGGCTACCACTTTGACCTCTCTTGGACTGTAGAAAACAACATGACTCCAACGAAGATCCAAGATCATCTCCAACAGCACCAAGAAGAAGTTGGTAAAATAGTGGTCTCTTGTAGCATAAAACTGTTCTGGTCCAAGAACCACAATGTCATTCAGGCTACAGTGAAAAAAGAAAGAGAGAGAGAGCAAAACCCATGGTGTATTTAAATATCTAGACTGTTGTCAAAAACACTGAATCTCAAAGACCCTTATGTTCATCAGTTTGAAAAAGTACACATGAAGCAGTATGAATGAAGAAATTCCGCAAAAAGGACATGATTTTTCATTGCACCTGACGGGTTTTCTTTTAGCCGTTTATTATTTTCTCAATCTTCCCTTCCACAGAAGTGAGCAAAAACACATAAATACACACAAAAAAAAACCCTCAACTCCAAATCGTTGACTTGCAAATGTCAATCATGGTTATGTGCGATGGTCACAGTGCAACAATGGTTATTATCGGTGGTCACCAATAGTTCTGGTTCACTCTCTTCTAGGATTAGATTTCTCCATGCCCTGGATGTTTGGCCCAGCCATACGACTTGCTTTTGGCCAGTGAGATGAAGTGATGTGTGTGTCTTCCGAAAGGAAGATGGGCCAGTATGAGATCCACCATGCGTCCCTTACTCTTCGGCAGTAACCAGCAACTTTTCTGATGACTGAAAGTGTGGCCCGTGGTGAGGGCTCTATAGGAGGACAATATAAAATTGAATCCTTGAATCACTTACATTGGACATATAGCATGAGTAAGAAAATAAAACAGAATTTATGGTTTTGAGCCACTAAAAACCTTACAGTTTTTCTTTTCTGTTATTGTAACATAACCCAGTCCATCCCAACTTTTATAATTGGGATTGTGAGTGCTATTCTTTCTTGCTTATAGTCTTCGGTATTATGAAAATTTTTAAATGAAACAAGTCATACTCCTATAAGAGTAAAGAGCAATAAAGTCATTTACATTTTGGAAAAGGAAAAAAGAGACGGTGACTTGAAAAAAATGTAAAAAAGAAAAAAGTAAAAAAAAAGAGAGAAAAAGTGTAAAAAATGTAAAAAAGTGTAAAAAATGAAATACTTTTAGATTGAATTTAGAAAAATTTTGAATGAATCAGGAAATACTTTGAGGTTTTGATTTACAATGACTTTTCCAAGGTCATTAGGCCACTCATCTTTTGGGTCTCAGCTTAAGCATTCATTCTTCCAAAAAGTATTGGCAGACACCACAGGTTAAGTTCGATCCCAGAGCACTTTGTTCTACTGCTTGAAATGCTTGGTTAAGATTGAGTACCAAGGCACCTCTCAAAAGTACTCTTTAGGTCCTCCAAACTTCACCCACTCTGTTCCAGATGGCACTCCTCTAACCAGCTCTGCCTGGTTCTGACAGAACCTTACCTCATTTTTATTACTGGCCTCAGGCTCCTACTTCCAGGCTTCTGTGTTGAGGCCAAAGCACGGGATAATCACCAGACTTGACTTGCACATGCACAATCAGGAATTTTCAGGAGTTAATACTCTTTGGGGGCAAACTTCGGCTCTCAGGAGATGGGACTGGTGAATAAACTCTTCTCCCTTTCTTATGGCAGCCAGATTGTCCAAAAATGAGGCTCACGTTGCCTACAGGAGGACAACCCTATGATTTCAAGCAGCTGCACTCGGCAGTGGCAGGCTTCATTAACACTCAACATAGCCTCTCCTCTGCATGAGATTCCTAGCGCTGCCATGACAGAGTGCCACAAACTGGGGAGTGGAAGACGATAGAAATTTGCTGTCTCGCAGGAGGTGAGACCTCTGAAGTGAAGGTGCTTACAGAGCCATGCTCCTTCTGAGGGTTCGATGGGAGAATCCGTCCTTGCCTCTTCTAGCTGCTAGTCACTCTGGACATTCTTTACCTTGTAGATGCTTCACTCCAATCTCACTCTCCATCTCCACAGGCATTCTCCCTGTCTGTCTTTCTTCTTATTAGGACATAAGTCATATTGGATTAAGGATCCGCCCCCACTTTTAATATAACTTCATTTAACTAAGTAAATCTGCAGTAATCCGATTTCTAAACAAGGTTATATTCTGAGATGTTGCGGTGGAGGGATGGCTGGTTAGAATTTCAGCGTATCTTTTTGAGAGGACGTAGTTCAATCCATCACACCCGCCTCTCCCTGCCTCAGGCTGATCCCTCGCTTCTGGGTCCTGGGATGGTAACTCTCCAATAAAGTAGTTGCCTATTGGGCGCCTGGGTGGCTCAGTGGGTTAAAGCCTCTGCCTTCAGCTCAGGTCATGATCCCAGAGTCCTGGGATCGGTCCTGGGATCGGTCCTGGGATCGAGCCCCGCATCGGGCTCTCTGCTCCGCAGGGAGCCTGCTTCCTCCTCTCTCTCTGCCTGCCTCTCTGCCTACTTGTGATCTCTGTCTGTCAAATAAATAAATTAAAAAAAAAAAATAAAGTGGTTGCCTATTAAGTTTTCCCTTATGCTATGTTTTCACTGAAAGGAATTCGTTCAGTGAGGTCATAGTAACCATCACCAGTTGGGTAAGTCAAGCCAGTGACAGAACCCCCATTTTGCTAAGGATACTGAAACATAGGTTGAGAGATTTGTCCACAGTTTCTCAGTCACCCCGTGGCGGTCCTGGTTCCTGCTGTGCCTCAGAACCCAGTGCAACCCATCATGGGAAGAGTTCAGTGACCCCCACTTCTTTTCTTCTGCCCTCTGCTTTTGTCATCCCTAATTCTACAGGGAGAAATTCATACATGATTTTGAGAAAGACAGCGAAGGAAAGACAGTGAACTTCCTTCCTTTTCTTTTCCTGATCCTCTATCGCAGCAAAGATTAACCTCTACTGTCTTTCAGCATTGAGTCCATTTTATAAAAGACAAGTTCCTCCTTGTTTGTTACAGCCTTAGAACAAGCAAACTACGCACTAAAAGACTAAACTATTTTTCTCAACACAGTAAAAAGGATGTTGATCACTATGACCGAGAGTCCAGCTTTTAATTCAGACCAATTGAGGCTTACACCCTGGTTCTGGCACTTACAAATTATGTAATTTGGGTAACTTAACCCCAAATTTCTTAGGTCCCAGTTTACTCATGCCTATTACTAAAGGCTGTTGGGAGAATTAAATGAACTATTTTGACACAGGGCCTGGCACACAGTCAATGTTTAGTAAATGTGAATTTTTATATGAGCTGATAGCCTTTTTTCAAATCCTGTCCTAAAGCTTTTATCAAACAAAGGAATGGCCCAGGGGCACCTGGGTGGCTCAGTGGGTTAAGCCTCTGCCTTCGGCTCAGGTCATGATCTCAGGGTCCTGGGATCGAGCCCCGCATGGGGCTCTCTGCTCAGCAGGGAGCCTGCTTCCCCCCTCTCTCTCTGCCTGCCTCTCTGCCTACTTGTGATCTCTCTCTCTCTCTCTCTGTCAAATAAATAAATAAAATATTAAAAAAAAAAAAAAAAAGAAAGAAAGACAAAGGAATGGCCCATCTGGAAGCTGGTTGTAATACCCAGCCGGTAGGGCTCTCAGAACACAACCTACTGGGACAACTAGAAAAAGGTGTAGGTGTTTGAAGAGAGCCCAATAGTGAGTATTGCATTGTTGTGGTACAGAGGATGGAATTAGAACTGGGAATCTAATTGAGCACCTTTATAGGATTAAAATGCTTTCAGAGAGTTGGAGAATATAAAGATATTCAATACTGAATACAGCAATTTCTAGTGAGGTGCTGGGCAGTGTCACCATGGGAACCTCTTGAAAGCTTTAGGAAAAAAAATGCTGCAAAACAAAAGTTTAAGCCTGCTGAACCAAAGAAAACAAAGCACACAGCAGAGATGCAAAATAAATAGAAGTGCAAAATACTTTAATTCCATACCTCTTGAGAAGTTCATGTTTTATAGTTTTCAAGTGTACAAGAGAATGTTGTTGTTCCTCAAATTTAAATTTCTCCACCGTGGACTTCATGTGGGGATGATTCACAACATAAAGATACACAGTTTGGTCTAAGGTGGAAAAAAGGCATAATTTACAAGTATTATTATATTCCTAGACTTGGTGTACAACTTGGTCATGTTCCAGCACTTTTCTTATATACCTTGCATTTGATCCCCCAGTACACCTGCTAGGATCCCCATTTTTTTAAAAAGATTTTATTTATTTATTTGAGAAAGAGAGACAGAGACAGAGTGAGAGAGCATGAGAGGGTCAGAGGGAGAAACAGACCCCCCATGGAGCTGGGAGCCTGATGTGGGACTCGATCCCAGGACTCCAGCGTCATGACCTGAGCCAAAGGCAGTTGCTTACCAACTGAGCCACGCAGGCACCCTAGGATCCCCATCTTATTGAGACAATTGAGACTCAGAAGGTGAGTCACTCATCAGCAATTTCACCACCACCAAGTGGCAGAACCAAGCCCAGATGTTTCTCAATGGTCTCCTGATCCTCACCTACATAACCTCTGCAACAGGAAGGTACAGAACTACAATGGTACATGGCCACATGTGGTTTCCCAAGGTGGCCCTTCAACAAAAAAAAGTGGGTGCATGCAAACGAGCAGGTGCTGAGAATTCCTTTCTTTGAGATGCCAACATTGCAACACACGTTCAAGAAAGGTCAGGGCTATGTAAATATCTTAAAAGAAGGAACATGTCCCAGCTAGAGAAGAAAGTTCTGACACAAGTCCACCATCTAAGGCTGCAATAACAATATTTAATGATCCCAATGGACACAGAAGTAAGTATGAAGCCAAGAGAAAGAAGACTAGTCAATTCTGGGTACTGCCAACCTCGAGAATGTTCCCCTCTGTTCATATTAAAATGTGAACTGCTGGGGACAGCATGGAGAGTAGTAATACATTTTCTCAAAATACTGTTTTCTGACTTGACAGAAGCTCTAGCTCAGAAGAGCTCTGGAGTTTGAAAGAGCCTGGCCCCATCCTCCCACTGCAGGGCCTGGTCTGTATTTATGTTCCCTATTCCATTTTTGACAAGTTCCCGATCACATAGACTAAGCACCAGCCCTGAGATGCAGGGGTTATACTCAGAGCCCCTGAAACACACAGGTACCTTAACCCTACTTAAAGAAAGGCACTCCCTCACAGGTGACACTTTTAGTCTGACCCAGCTCAGTTCCAGGGCCTGAGGCTTGGCAAGCAAAGCCTGAGTTGGATTTCAGCCCCCACGTGGCCCTTCAGCCAGACACTGTTGCCAGACACAGCGTGAGCATTATATGTGCGGTGCCGGTTGTACCCCTTCTTTAGGTTTCTACCGGACCCTTCCTTCCATATAACAGATGCTCAGTAAGAAAATTTTTGGTTTTTGTCTTCTCATTCCATTTCGATTTATGGGTAATGTTTTGCCCTTATTAAATGCATAATTAAGGGAAGTGACTAGTAACTAAAATAAGATTGCAACCATAATATATTCAGCTTCTGAAAGTCTGATTAAATGCTTGAGGGTTAATCTGTAAACTGGCTCCATCTCAAAAAACGAAAACAAAACGAAAGAAAAAAACAAGCACCTACTCCCCATGCCTCAATAATAATAATAATAATTCACCCTTAACATTATCCCATGCAGTAAAATAGCTCCAGGTTAATCTGGTCACTCATTATACTTTCTCCAATGAAGGTGTTGGGGGGGGGTCAGACAAAAAAAATGGTGACTCAAATAATTTAAACAGAACTTGGAGCCCTAATTTCACCCAAGTAAGGGATATAGGATTAGAAAGAAGACCACTGGGTTCTACTTCTGGAATTGCCTTTTATTAATGACAGATGTGAAGTCACATGTCGCTGCATTTCTTCAAACTCCATTTCTCCATCTATAAAACTGAGTGTTAATATCTGCCCTGTCCCATGGGGCTCACTAATTTACTCATTCAACACATGTTCATAGAGCACCTACTATGCAACAGACACCGTTCTAGACTATGGGAATCCAGCAATAAACAAGCCACACATGATTTTATGGTGATTATATTCCAGAGAAGAGAACACAGAGGAAATAGTAAATACAAGAATACTGGAGAGAGGAGATGTCTTCTTCATAGAGTGGCACCCACTTAAAGATTCTTTCCTCAGCTCTTGGATCTAAAGATGTGAAGGAGCTCACTACAGGGCAACAGTAGGAGAAGGAAAGAAGGTTGGTAACATTTAATATTAATAAAGAACTTTAATTGTCATTTTGATGAGTGCTAAAAGAAGGACTATACTGAGAAGAAATAAAATAAGGTTCACACCTGGAAACAAGATAGTGGAAAGGCTCCCTGAGAAGGTGACATTTAAGCTGAAGCCTGAATGATGAGGAAGAATAAGTCAGAAGTGGTGGAAAGACATTCCATTCAGCGGGAACTGCAAATGCAAAGGGCCTGAGGCATGGAGCATTTTTTTTTTTAAGATTTTATTTATTTATTTGACAGACAGAGATCACAAGTAGGCAGAGAGGCAGACAGAGAGGGAGGAAGGGAAGCAGGCTCCCTGCCGAGCAGAGAGCCAGATGCGGGGTTCGATCCCAGGACCCTGGGATCATGACCTGAGCTGAAGGCAGAGGCTTTAACCCACTGAGCCACCCAGGCGCCCCGGCATGGAGCATTTTATAGGTCTAAAGGAAATCTAGTGTGGCTGGTCGAGGGGAAGGTGGTATCTGGTGAGGTTGGAGAAAACACCCACATGCCAGAATACACACAGGTAGTTCCTACCCACTCTGGAGAACTGAGATTCTCTGGAGTTATGGAAACAATATGACGAATTTTAAGAAGGGAGGGACATGATGAGATTTGCATAAAAAATAACTCTTGCTTATGAAAATGCATGGAGGTGGTATATAAGAGGGAAGGTCTAGTCAGGGCGCCATTATAGAATCCAGGGAAGACATGCTGGGGGCTTGGGATGGGATGGAGGCATCGAGGACAGAGAGAGGTAGACAGCTTAGAGACATATTTGAAGGGTAAATTGGACAGAACTTTGGAACTAGGTGACTGAATGGGGCAGGAAGAGGAGAAGTATCAAGGTTGGGCCCAGTGTTTTATTTTGAGGAATAAGTAAATTATATGAAAATTTTAAAAGGAACCCACTTATTAAAAATCAACAAGCCGGGGCACCTGGGTGGCTCAGTGGGTTAAAGCCTCTGCCTTTGGCTCAGGTCATGATCTCAGGATCCTGGGATGGAGCCCCGTATTGGGCTCTCTGCTCGGCAGGGAGCCTGCTTCCCTCTCTCTCTCTCTTCCTGTCTCTCTGCCTACTTGTGATCTCTGTCTGTCAAATAAATAAATAAAATCTAAAAAAACAAAAACAAAACCAACAAGTCTATTGGTGCAGACCAAAGGAATTAAACAAAGATCTGTTGGATGAGTAGATTAATAATTATTGATCAGGGGCACCTGGGTGGCTCAGTGGGTTAAGCCTCTGCCATTGGCTCAGGTCATGATCCCAGGGTCCTGGGATCGAGCCCCGCATCGGGCTCTCTGCCCCTCAGGGAGCCTGCCTCCACCTCTCTCTCTCTGCCTGCCTCTCTGCCTACTTGTGATCTCTCTGTCAAATAAATAAATGGAATCTTAAGAAAAAAAAATTATTAATCATTCATTTTTTTATTCAATAAAATAACTTCAACAAATGTATTCTTAACAATACATTGTAACTCTTGTATGTATTTGAAAGAATTAACACACAATTTCTTTAAAAATTCCAAACTGCCACACTTCCATTTGACCTTCCCTTCACATAGCTACTATGAGTAAGGTCTCACTGTTTTTATTTTCCATGTGCCCTATAGACTCGCAAATATCTAAAAATTAAATTAGTCAGGAATGATGAACTGTGAACAAGTAGCAAATCACACCAGAAACTGTTGTGTTAAAGTAAGTACAATGTATTAATATCCTAGATTTTTGCAACAGTTTTTGTGTGATATAATCCATTGTTGTTAAGCTCAAGCTTTTAAAATGTACAATTTAGTGGTTTTTGGTATATTCACAGAGTTATACAACCATAACCACTCTCTAGCTCCAGACCATTTTTATCACCCAAAAAAGAAAGCCCAAACCCATTAGATATCATTCCCCATTTCCCCCAGCCCCTGCAAACAGCTAAGCTACTTCCTGTTTCTATGAATTTGCCAATTCTGCACACTTGATATAAATGTAATCATACACTATGTGGCCTTTAGTGATTGAATTCTTTCACTTAGGATAATGTTTGCAGAGTTAATCCATGTTGTAGTATATGTCAGAACATTATCACTTTTTATTGCCAAATAATATCCCATTGTATATACATTCATCACTTGGTGAGAATTTGGGTTATTTTCGCCTTTGGGGTATTAGGAATAATGCTGCCATGAACGTTTGTGTATAAGTTTTTGTGTGGACCTATGTTTTCAGTTCTCTTGGGGACATACCAAGGGGTGGAGTTCGGGGATCGTATGGTAGCTCTGTGTTCATTTTGAAGAATGGCCAAAATGCTTTCAAAATTGGCCACACCAACAAAGTGTGAGCGTTCCAATTTCCCCATATCCTTGCCAACATTTGTCATTGTCTGCTTTTTTTAATTATTATTATTATAACCATCCTAGTGGGAATGGAGTGCCATCTCATTATGGTTTTGATTTGCATTTCCCTAATGACCAAGGATATTAAATATCTTTTCATGTGTTTATTGGCCATTTGCATATCTGTTTGGAGATGTCTACTAAGATCCTTTGTCCATTTTTTAATTGGGCTGTCTTTTTGTTATTGAGTTGTAAGAATGATTTATATATTCTGGATACAAGCCTCTTATCAGATATATGATTTGCAAATATTTTCTTCCATTCTTTGGGTTATTTCTTCACTTTCTTCATGGTGTCTTTTGAAGCAGAAAGTTTTTAATTTCGATGAAGTCTAGTTTATCTGGTTTTCTTTCATGTAATGTTTTCTAATGTCACACACAATTATTTTCAAAGGACTTTGAGTTTATATGTTAGATTTCTGAGAACCATCTCCAAACTGGTTTTGAAGGCCAAATGGAAAGAGAAGGAGATAAGAGGAAGAAGGAATGACTACCTTCTAGTTTTCCTTCTTTAATGTGGGGTTTACAAATATTTGGTACACATTTTATTATCTTACAAATATACCTTCCTCTGGTAAAGTAGAATTTTCCTTCCTTTCACATACACAATGAGTCATGGAGGTTGAGTGTCTTTTATTTCCCTCACTTACCCCTTATTTTTAAACATTCAGGCTTTACCTTCGTCGATGAAAGTACTGATTCCATGTGGGTTAAATGATGCTTTGTCAAAATCACCACTGATGTTTAGTGCCTGGGCTCTTGGGTTTTGCTCATTCAGATCCATCAAGAAAATTTGTCCTGGCTCATCAGGTGCAAAGCTTGGCATGCCTGGATATTTTAATTCCTGTAAAAAATATAAAATAAGTAGCGCATATATCCACTTCACAATATTTCATATGGGAGCTCAAATCTCAAAGCCTAACAAAAATATTCAAAACTCTGCATTTCTTTTAGATTTCTGGGATTTTTCACGCTGTTAGCTGATGCCATTATCTGATCTGAGGGATTACCAATGACACTTGGGCCATTGGGAATGGGAATGGGAAGGTGGGAAGAACCCATATTCAATTACTCACATAGAGAGAAGGGATGAAGCCAAAAAGTGTAATGCAAGACACGAGGCTGGGTTACTTTGTGTGAGTCCCTCAGCCTGCCTATGCCTCTGGTTCCTCATTTATAAAATGAGAAAAAGTATAGGATTGCTAAGCCCTGAGAGTCTGTCCTTTATAGTCCTGATAGTCAGCAACTAACCCTCCTTAAAGCAGAGAGAAGAGGTACATGCTTTCATTGTATTGCTCCCACCCCTGTATCCGTTGTATTAGATAGTCACAAAGAGTGGAAGCAGCCAAGAATTCACATAGGGAAACGAGTAACATAAAGCTGACTATTTCTTTCTTTCTTTTTTTTTTTTTTAAGATTTTATTTATTTATTTGATGGAGAGAGAGAGATCACAAGTAGGCAGAGAGGCAGGCAGTGTGGGGGACTCCCTGCCGAGCAGAGAGCCCGATGCGGGGCTCAATTCCAGGACCCTGGGATCATGACCTGAGCTGAAGGCAGACACTTAACGACTGAGCCACCCAGGCGCCCCTAAAGTTGACTATTTCTGACCTATGTTGTCCCTATAGTTATGTCTGAAAATTTGGACATGAATCCTTTTCTTCAAATATTGCAAAAAGTTTATGTCAGTAACTTGGACAGTGGCTCTTTCTCCTGGAAGGACCAATTATGTGGTCTTTTAACCAATAATAGGCAATGGGCCTTTGCTGCATCCCAGGTCATTGTGTGGAAACTGGGAGTTGGTTTGTGCTACACCAGTGACAAAACCTCTTCCTCCCTGACACCCTCCGCCATCACTCTGATATATATTAACATCAACAATGTTATATCTTTTCTTGTACCCTCATTTCCATTTATAGTCAATTTAAATGATGTCCTTCTTACTCTATCTTCTGTCTTCCTTTCCCCTCCCTTTTTTATAAACACTCATACACATCTCCGCACACTTACTTACAATAATAGCCCTTCCATTGCCCTTCACCCCACCCCTGGGGGAGTCAATCTTCAGTTGCAAACAACCTCACACATATCTTTGAGGATTTTTTTTTTTTTTTAAAGAACAGTTCTTCTTTCCCTAAATATTACCCCAAACCTGGCTTTCCCCCAGACAACAATGACATTGCAGAAGCCCATCCAAGGACACACTATTTTGGCTTCATTTTTTTCTTAGGTCAGCCTCACCTGGAGGAGAGATTCCTACCAACTCCCCTTTCCCTGGTCTAGCTCGTAGATAGGGCCAGTCTGAAATCAGGTAGAAAACTTCCTCTGCAAAGTTATCATCCCAACTTCAATCAGACCTTCAATACCATTTGTCAATCTTTTGTTCATTCCAATAGTAATCTATTGCACTTCCCCAGGTATCCACCTTGATTTATTTTATTATCTTCCAGAGCACCCACCTTCTTCCTCTTTATTCTCAACGGATGACCTTATCTCCTATTTCTCCAAAGATAAAACCATGCCACTCAACACGAATTTCCTCTGATTCCCTCCTTTCTATCTTGGTAATTCTTCAATTTCATCAATTTTCTTCCTTTCCTCCTCTTCTCTTAAGGATAGAGTTTCCCTCTTCTGTTTTTAAGTTAATTACTTTCCCCACCTGTTTACGTGGTTGCCTGTTCTCGGGGACCGGTCTTTAGAACTTAAAGTCTTTCTCCTGCTTTACTCCCCATTTCTCACCAGTGCCCCCTTCTTTTGCCTGAAGAATTGCTCATTTCTCCTTCCTTGAGACAAATCTTCTAATTTTACTACTCCTTCAAACGCACATTTACTTGCCTTCAGCTCTCACTGTCTGCTTTCTTAGAAACATCACCTGGTCTTGTCGCCTGCCTTGAAAGGTTCCAAATCTTACCAATTTGTAGAAGCACCTCTATCTAGGTCATATCAGTGCTCTCCAGAATATCTCATTTGATAAACCCTCCCCCTTTCCTTATCTGTGTCTCCATGGAATCTGACACTCTGATGTACCCCTTTATTCCTTGTCAAGAAGTCAAAAGCAGACTTTCCAGATAGAAGTCCTTCTTTTCTTTCTGCCCCTTCCTCCTTCTATCCTCATCAATCCCTCTTTTCTTCTTGCTCTGTACTCTTCCCTTGCAGATCTTATTCATAAGGCTTCAGATATTTCTTCTATACCAATTATCTTCAGGTCTGCCCATTTACCTGGAACCTATCTCTGGAGCTCTAGCCTGCATTTCCAACTTCCTCCTCACAGCAGTTCCAAATCAAATTGACAGAACCAAAATCAGCATTCTCTCCCTGAATCCTGCCTCTCATTTGTGTCTATTATTCTCAGTTAAGGGCATCACTGTTCTCCCCAGTGCTCTCAGGCCATGAAATTCAGTCTTTGAGTCTACCCTTCCCTCAGAGTCAGGCTGTCACCAAGCCCAGCAACTTAGGTCATGGTGATAATGGACAAAAAATATCAGAGACATCCAACTCTTCTCTTTCAACCAAGGAAAATTAAGCCCAGAGAAGTGAATTGCCTAAGTCACTCACATCGTTAATTGAACACTCTTTCTGCCACATCATAAAGAAAGGTTTGACAGTGGAGAACACTACTCAGGAAGACAGCTCAAAGAAGACCGCTTTAGCAAGTATTTTGGTAGTCTGGGTGCGAACAAAGGCACAGCCAGCTAGTTCAGAGACTGCGTGTTCTCAAAACAGAAATGATATATTAGGTAAATAAGGGTAAGACATTGCAAACAAACCTGACCTATTTTAAGTGTCATAATGAATGAAACACTTCCAAGTAATGGCTTCATAGGCACCCGGTTTTCTGTGTAAGGCAGTTGGGTAGGAATTTGTAGCAAGTGAGTGCAAGCAATTCTTTGGATATCATTTGCCACTGAAAATGGTGAAAATCCCCTAGAGGGGCAGCATCTCATTTTCCCCCATAGGTGACCTGTGTGCGTGTGTCGGTGCTGAACTTCTCTACTGCCCTCATTCACCAGCACACACATTCAGTAAAAAGTCAAGCACCCTGAGCCTGTCAGATAGCACGTCCAGTGCTGAGCATGGCCACGGACGCTCCACAAAGCTCTGGCCACAAGGAGCTTGAAACCTGGGGAGGCAGCGCTAAGCGAGCACGTCTGATATGATGTGGTAGGGAAGAGCCTAGGCCCAGAGAACGTGAGGGACCACAGCAGAAGCACATCGCCCAGAAGGAGCGCTGGGGGAAGACTTGCCTATGGAACTCAAGTGTGGCCACAGAAAGCCTGACAGAGAATGAGGGGCGGGCTCTGTCATGTGTGAAGAAGGCAGGCAAAGAGAAGCGTGCCAAGTCCCACAGTGAGGAAGCAAATAGCCCGCTAGGCACCTCTCTATAGACTGACTACCAATGTCGCGCAGAATTTCTCACGGAAGCAGCAGCTTGCAAACATGTTCTGTGAGGCAAGGAAGGGAGAGAGGAAAAACCAAGAACAAGGACTTGAATCCACTGCAGTGCAAAGAGATTGAAAATAAGCAAAAAACGTCTTCCTTAGCCTAGGAGTCGTTTTGTTAGTTTGCAAAGAGGGGCTCTATGATTGAAAGCCCCCTGTTATGTTTCTCCGTTAAAATCTCTAGTTTCTGTACGGCGACCATTCAGTACTTTTAGATCCGGCGAAAATAGAAAAGAAGCATACAGCTGAACCTACAAATATTTCCTCCTAAAAGCAGAGAAATCTCCCAGCTACAGAATAGTCATTTTTAAAAGTCTATGTGGCATAATACTGAACATCTAAATTGACAATAGAAAATTTAAGACAACAAAGGAAAAGCTTTTCTAGACAGCTTTTGCTTTAGTTTTGGTTTTGCAGGAAAACTAAGGAAATAAAATCCCTCCCACCCCCCCACCCCAACACATCTCAGCACCAACAGCAATTTAAAATCCAAAGGAAACCTTACTATACTGTGCGTACTTGAGAATTTATAGACACTCAGGCCTTTAAGTGTTATTATATATGTCCCCTTTTAGCCAAAAAGATATAGATTTTCAAATTCATGTTATTTGGTAGTATTCTATTGGTTAAAATGGAATATTTAGGACACGCAATCCCAGGAATCTGAGTTCACACTAAAAATGGAGTCGTTTTGCTTGTTCAGAATCTTGGCCGCATTCCAACCTTCAACTGTTCAATAAATACATGGCAATTTCCATTATCTTCACACCATATATGTTTCAACTTATTGTATTTAATTTATTTATATTTATTTGTCAGTCCTTCACATAGCTTCCTGACCATCCCAAGCCCGTGAAGGTGGTATTGGAAATAAAATGCAGGCCCTTCTCTACTAGTCTTTGAAAGTTGGAAGGAATGGCAGGGAACCCAAGATGGCAAATGAGCAGGCTTTTGAACTGAGTAACAGGGTCAACATATGATTCACAAATATTGCCCGAATCCCAAACACGGGCAGGCATTGAGATAATACCAGTTAGTGAGGACATGACAACCGGAAACTCAGGTCCAGCAAAATAGGGCAATGATGGGGACGGACACCAACAGGACAAACCTGAAGATTCGTCTAGGAATCAAATGGAAAGGAGTCGACATTTACTGAGACCCTACTGAATTTGTAACCCCATAGGGAGCTACCTACATGGGGGGCAAGCAAACCTGGCATTCCTGTGGTAATCCGATTAGCCCTCTGGAATCCTGTTTTGGCTTTTTTAGTTGACTGCTTTAACCACAGTTGGGATGAGGGTGGAGGGGTCCATCAGGCAGCCCTAGTCTGCAACGTTAATATATCTATTTGTCTATTGAGCTGAGTGTCTGAGGGGCGTGGAAAATACTCACACTGGAGATAAAAGCCAGCCCACTAGGAAGTATATCAATGTCTTCAGAGCCATTTTCTGCAAAAGAAAAGTGGAGGATCAGGAAGATGCATGAACGAAGGCTTAAAAAGTAATCCTCCCAGATGAAACTTTAGACTTCTTTTGGAAAATACATTAATTTTTTCAACTATTTACTTGGGAAACTACATTAACTTCCAGGAATCCCATAAGCATGCTACTCTACTGTAAAACCGGGGTCAGATTCCCTAAATATTAAATTCTTTCTTTAGAATTCAATTTTCAGGAGAAAAAAGCAAATAATGATAAAATAAAGTCATAGCCTAGATTTATTCTTCAAATAACAACTTCTAGGGTATGCCCTGGGAGATTCAACTTTATTCCCCATAGAAGACTGCCATGCAGATGGGTTTATAACATTTGGAAAGTCATCTTTGTGAGGGTGTCTTAAAGTCCTCTCAGCCAAACATTTCTCTCTTCCAACTTGTTGAGGTCTAAAAATATACCATTATTCGATCATATTGGGAAATTCTGGTAATTGTTATCCATTATAAAAGCAATAGGTCTTAGGAAAGACTACCAAATATAGGTAAATTTGAATAATTTAGTCAGCTCTCTTTCACACTAAGAGATGGTCCTAAACATTTTTCTCTGGAAAGAAATGGATAAGAAGTAAGTTATGACCACGAACAGGATGCAAAGGGGGCTCACAAGGCTCCTAATAGAGAGACAGACCCACAGAGGATGGGGTCCCAAACAGGCCGGACTGAGGGTAAAGGTAGTGGTTATCTAGTGTGGCAAACTGTATTTTACAAATATGGGAGAACCAACATGGATCATAGCCACATGCCCTTCTTAAAATGTGATGGTCTTGTTCTTCCATCAGGAGGCAGGGTCTCTCCCCTTGAGTCTGGGTGGATTAATGGAAACTGCTTTGACAAACTAAATGAGGTACAAGTAATGCCATATGGCATACAAGGTAAAGCCATAACCACAGTTGCTGCTGGCTCACTCTCAATCTCTTTCTATCTCTTTCTCTCTCTCTCACTCTCTTCTCCCTTCCCTTCCACATTTCCCTTCTCTTCTCTTCTTCTCTCTGTCTCTGTCTCTCTCTCTGTCTCTGTCAGCTTGGGCCTTGGGAACTCTAAACTTAAATGTAGGAAGCCTGGGTACTTTGAAGCTATAGAGGAGTGACTATACAGGGACTACAGAAGGTAGAGAAGACACTGGAGGTGTCACAGATCACTTCATTTCTCAACCGTTGAGTCACCCTAGCTGATGCAAATGGGAACAGCAATGAGCCCACTGAATGAACCACTGAGCCGTGTTAAAATTGCAAATTCATGAGCAAAATAAACATCGTTTACATCAGTCACTCGGATTTAAGGTGGTTTGTTACACAGTTACAGTGACTGGTACATGTGGGGAAAAAGGTTGCTTGGGGTAATGCGTGACTAGTGTGTCAAAAGGCAGTTGAGCAAAGAGAGGGAGGGAGGAAAAGAAAAGTGGGACAAAGCCAAATAAAATGCAAATTTGAATCAACAGAGTAATGAGCAATGGGCACTGAAAGTTAGAGAACAGAGGGAGATTTAATTATATATTCACTTACTGAAACTAATCCCCAACTAGTAGCTTGAAAATTAATCAGAGTGTCCATTTTCTAAACATTCCAGGTAATCAGGATTTATCTATCTATGGTATCTTAAGGGCTTGAAAGACTTAGTGCTCTTTCCATCTGGAGTAAAACAGACATGGGGAGAACCCAGCAAATTGAATAAAGCAATTTAAAAAATCACATTGAATATGGGTTGGTTAATTTTTGAGCCAACTTTTTTTTCTTCTTCTTACTTTTTTTCTCTTGAACACTGCTTTTCAGTTGCTTTTTGCCGTATTTTCCTGCCCAATTTTATTCTGGACATGGTTATTCTCGAGGCCCTGTCTTTGGCTGTTTCTTATACCACAGCATCCCTTCTACCTGTGCAATCTACTCCAGTCCCCTGGCTTCACTTCTACCCATATGCTATTGACTCTCTAATTTCCAAATCAAGCCCAAATCGTTCTGTCAATTTCCAGACTTTTTTATTCACCTGTACAGTGGGCATTCCTACCTAGCTGTTTCATTTCTCATATTTAACATGTCCTGAACTGATCTGGATGTTTCCCCCTTGAATCTGCTCCATTTCTTATATTTTGATTTCAGTGGATGGCACTTCTATCCTCCAAGTACCCACCCCCTGAAGTACCTGAAGTGATCTTCAATGCTTTCTTTTTCCTTACTCCCTGAATCCAACGGATCACTGTCATTCGAGCTCTAGAACTGCCCCTTAGATTTGCACAGTAGCTTCCTAACAGGTCAGTTCTGTTCCCCTGCTACCACTCTCTGCACCTGCTGAGAGTCAGCATTCTAAATTGCAGAGTTGATCTTGTCATTCTCCTGCTTAAAACCCTGCAGACGTGTCCCAGAGTTAGCCATAGAAATCTGAAACTTCTTGGTCTGGATTCCCAATTCTCCACATGCCAGCTCCCGTCTTGGTCTGTTGGCCCCCACCCTCTGCCACATGTGCCACAGTTCTTGCCTTTCTAGTTGCTGAAATGTGTCAGCCTCGTTCACCTGCCTGAGCATGTGCTGCTTCTTCTTCTTGACAATCCACGCCGCTCTCACGCCACTTTCGCCTCCCCTTGCCTGAGTATCACAGGCTCTAGAGAAGAGCTTGGGGGCCACCTCCTCAGCCTTTGCAGCCTCTCCCAGTTCCCTTTAGTTCTCACAGCCATGTTATATACATATAGGGTCACTTGAGACCACCTCTGCCAAGATATTTCATTCACACCTGGGCGGCACCCTTCTGCTGACGTGTTGATTTCCTACCAAACAGTCAGCCTCTTGGGAACAAGGACCAGTTTTCATTCAGCACTCCAGCTTTGCACCCAACGTCATTCCTGCCTTTTCACTACAGAAACTCTCGGTAAAAGCTGGTCGACTGACTAAATAAGATAAACCATGTTAGTTTCTTGATCTCTGTCTTATCTTTGAGTTAAACAAGTGGGTGTTAATTTCTGAGCATAAGGTGTCCTGAGTTGTGTGCTCTTTAGTCTGGTCCTTTTATCTTCTAAACACCGTTTAACACATGCTCTGACAGCATTAAACCACCTCAGTAATTCAGCTACAACAGGAGTGGGTGTGTTCTTGGGGTGTTGGATTTGTCTTTATTTACTGACTTAATCCAGAGCACAGGGATGCAAGTACTTTCTGTTCAGATGTGGAAACGAGTCACCGGCTGATTGCACGGTATTCCCACCCCTCTTTCCCCACCTCCCCTACCTGCGCTGCACCTGGCATGATAACACAGTGCCTCTTGGCAACAGTGGCACCTGTGGGAGTAAGAGCTCCCAGGACACCCTCCCCTGGGTGCTCCCCGTATACTTGTTAGCCTGTGCACAGCTATCATTAAAACCCCACCCAAGGGGTGCCTGGGTGGCTCAGTGGGTTAAAGCCTCTGTCTTCGGCTCAGGTCATGATCCCAGGGTCCTGGGATCGAGCCCCGCATTAGGCTCTCTGCTCAGCGGAGAGCCTGCTTCCCCCCATATCTCTCTCTCTCTCTCTCTCTGCCTACTTGTGATCTCTATCTGTCAAATAAATAAATAAAATCCTTAAAAAAAAAGAAAAAACCGCCCAACCCGAATGTTTATAGGAGCAATGTCCACAATAGCCAAACTATGGAAAGAACCTAGATGTCCATCAACAGATGAATGGATAAAGAAGATGTGGTATATATATATATATATATATATATATATATACACACACACACACACACAATGGAATACCATGCAGCCATCAAAAGAAATGAAATCTTGCCATTTGCAACGACTTGGATGGAACTAGAGGGTATTATGCTTAGTGAAATAAGTCAATCGGAGAAAGACAACTATCATATGATCTCCCTGATATGAGGAAGTGGAGATGCAACATGGGTGGTTTGGGGGGTAGGAAAAGAATAAATGAAACAAGATGGGATTGGGAGGGAAACAAACCACAAGAGACTCTTAATGTCACAAAACAAACTGAGGGTGGCCGGGGGGAGGGGGCTAGGAGGAGGGTGGTGGGGTCATGGACATTGGGGAGGGTATGTGCTATGGTGAGTGCTGTGAAGTATGTAAAGCTGGCGATTCACAGACCTGTACCTCTGGGGCTAATAATACATTATATGTTTATTAAAAAATAAAAAATATATAATTAAAAAAACCCACCCATAAGTCTAAAACCAGTCTCATGAATAGATGTCTACTACTTTTTAAACTGTCAGCCCTCTATGCAGCATAGTTTTGTCTCCTTGACTATTGATCATTTTCTACAGGCACCCTGAGAATATGTCACACTGAAACATTACGATCAATTAATATTATCACGATTTCCCATCTTGGAAAGAAGATTCTGAGAGCCAACTAAGAAAACAAATGTGACCTACAATGGAGTAGAAACAGATCTTGGAGATAGGGGAAGATGCTGGAGAGGAAAAGGGATGGAGGGGAAGATAGGAAGATACCAAAGACAATGGCTGTTTACTTCCTAATCCTGTCAAGGGCAGAGCCCCAAACTATTCGAATTTCATGTGCAGCTTTGAATAGATGCCAAGGGCAGCCAACTAACTTCTTGGTTAAAACAATCCTTGACCCGCAAAGCCTTGGAAAAAGAGAAACTCAATACAAAAAGATCTATGAGATATCATTTCTGGAGGTTAGAATTTTTTCACTTTTCACATTTTCTTCCCAGAAAGAATAATGGGAAGGAAAACAAAAAGAGGAAAGTTTCTTCCATCAATAAAATTAACCACAGAAGCCCAGATCTTTTTTTTTTTTTAAGATTTTATTTATTTATTTGACCGAGATCACAAGTAGGCAGAGGCAGGCAGAGAGAGAGGAGGAAGCAGGCTCCCTGCTGAGCAGAGAGCCCGATGTGGGACTCGATCCCAGGACCCTGGGATCATGACCTGAGCTGAAGGCGAGGCTTTAACCCACTGAGCCACCCAGGTGCCCCCAGAAGCCCAGATATTGAAGAAAACACAAATCAGAATTCTTCTTCAGCTCTGTTAACTGCCTACCAAGCCCTGCCTAAAATCCTTATTGGCTTTCCATTGCTTCATAGAGCTTTTAACTCATCAAATAGTTGGGTCTCGTGAAGTGTTCTCAGCAGTGATTTTTATTTAAATATCCAGCCTGCTTTGTTTTGGCCAGCTCTGCTTATTAATATTTCACCATTTTGCATCTCAGACTTTCGGTTTTCTGCTGCTGTTGTACTTTCCTGACACTTCCATAACAAAACGTGTTGTCAGTAGATAAGAGAGGCAGAGTCACACGACAAAGATTCCAAGGCATAGGAGAGAACCATCCAGGCTCATAATCTGGGCCCGTCACCCTCTTGTTCTGGGCCACTAGGCAAGTCACTTCATTCTGTTGTGTCTCTGTTTCCTAATCAGCAAGGACAGCAAGCAGTACCCACCTTACAGATCGATTATCAGGATGATGTCAATGTTTGTAAAGAACTCAGCAGAAGGTTTATAGACAAAGGCAATGGCATTATTTTTAGAGATGTATCAATATTGCCCTATTAATCATGATCCCAGGGTCCTGGGATAGAGCCCCGCATTGGGCTTTCTGCTCAGCAGGGAGCCTGCTTCCCTCTCTCTCTGCCTACTTGTGATCTCTATCTGATGAATAAATAAAATCTTTTAAAAAAAATATTTCCCTATTAACAAACGTTTAGTTCTCCAGATATAAGACGGAGATACGCCGATAGACACAAGAGGTAATGCTGTTTTCTTTTGCTCTCAGCCCATTCCCAAAAATTTTAGCCATTCTTTTCAAAATATTTAGATAATCAGAACTTTGATCTGTCTTACAACATTAGCCCCAGTTTTAGTTTCTCAACTCTATTGGAATTTTATGATCTGTGAGTCAGACGAGGCTTTAGCAATAATCTAGTCTAATTTCCCTACTACATTATTTGGCAAGCTCCTAGCTTTTGAGAGAGATATGTAGTAAATATGAATATTACTCCACAAAACAGTAAACACATGAGCAAATGTTACATGTCCTTTTTTTTTTTTTTAAATCAAATGAAATCTCACCCTGTACCCATATTCCGCTAAACTGAAGAGAAATTCAATCTCAGTCACTACTGGGTCTTCTGCCAGGGTTGTGTAAATATCGTAGGTGGCAAGTTTTTAAAAAGCAGAATATTTGGGGAAGTCCATCTGGACTTTATTCTATACTAGTCACCACCGAATTACTCACTGCCAAGCCAGTGTGTTCCCTTTAACATCACAGTTCTGCCACTTCCAGGCCCTGGATGGACACACAATCTGTGCTGGGGCTGGGACACACATAACAAAGGATCCGGCATCCCCAAAGACACCTTGCAGCCATTCTTTCTGGGGTCCTGTCCACCCCCAGAATGCTGCCAGGCATGGGGAAAGGATCCCTGTTACTCAAAATACCTACATATCCTTATGCTTTATTCATCGGCACCTTCTGAAAGAGTTCTGGTTTTTGAGAACAAAAGTCAGGAAGCAGCCTGTCCTCAGTTCCTTCTGTTTCTAGCCAGCCCCACAAACCTCCTCCATGTGCTAGGAAGCCATTGGCCAAGGCTACTTTTTCTTTTCTTTTTTCTTTCTTTCTTTCTTTCTTTCTTTCTTTCTTCTTCTTCTTCTTTTTTTTTTTTTTAGAAACCAAGAGAAGAAAACAAAGATAGAAAACCAAAATAAAAAAGACTCTTATTCTATCCCTGTCTCTCTCTCCCTTTCTCTCCATGTATACATATATGTATATGTAGTCAAAATATATCATATATAAAGAAATATATGTACCAAGAAAAAGAAAACACAAACTCATATCACAATAAACCATACTGTCATCCTGTCACATAATGATAAATAACTCATAGTCCTTGACCCTAGGGAGTTTACAGTCTGGTAGTGAGAGAGAGAGAGAACACTGCTAGCCATAAAATAAAGTGTGTGGTAGGTGTCGTAAGTGAATCAGAGTTTCAGAGCACTGGGGAGTTCAGAGGCAGGAGAGAACTTTGCAGCCTGATCTCAGCAAGCAAAGAGGAAGGAATCAGTGCAGGGGATTTCATGAGCAACCACGAGAAAGTAAAAAAGCACATTCTCCAGATAGTGAGCAGAATTCGCCTGGAGCTGTTTGTCTGTTAGCAGTGCCGTGGAGACAGGGGGCTTGGAACCCAGAGAAGCAAATGCAGCAGTAACAGTAATGGGGTGAGCTCAGCCCTGTGTGGGGCCACAGAAGGTGTTGATACCAACAAGTCTCAAAAGACAATGAGGGACGGGGAAACCATAGGGCTCCTACATATGGAACGGAGGCCCTTTGAGAACAGGCTTATCATACATAGGGGAAGTCTAGAAGAGCCAGTTGTGGGTGAGGGGATGAGGGAGGAAAGGACAGAAATGGCAAGCAGTTTAGACTGGAAAAGGAGGCCTGCAGTTTGAGAGGTTAGGGAGGCAGGCACCTATGGAGTTTTGATTTTTTTTTTTTTTTTTTTAAAGAAATCTGAGTAGGCTATGAGGTTCCTCAGGGTAAAGGCTAGGTCATATTTCTTTTGGTACTTGCAGATAAATTTAGAAGGAAACTGATATTTGAAGCCCGGAATACCATGAAGGAGAAGGAAGAAGAGAGAAAAGAAATAAGGTGGGCCCAGAAGGAGACAGAGGGGAGTGAAGTAGCACAGAAGGGGCATTCAGTAAGGGACAAGATGTCCTTCAAATGATGGAGAGACATCAGTAAAAAAAAAAAAAAAAGACTGGGGGGAAAGCCACAGATTTTGCCACTCCGGAGGGCCCCTGGAGACCTAGCATGAGAGAGCTTCAGAAAGTGGGGCAGAAGCCCCTGGCAGGAGGCTCTAAGGAGTAGCAGGCAATTAATTTAGTGGGCAGCCTCAGTTGGGAGAGTAGTGACCAAGAAATGGCACTGTCACATACGTACCAAGTCCCTCAATAAGGTGGCAGCTCCGGGGCTCTACTGACCTCACTTCTCGAGTTGCATTAGTTCTTTGTCTATAGAAGATAAAAACACGGGAGGTCAGAGCACGATATCCAAAATCGATGTCTAAATATTGTCTTTAATCACCTTCTTTTTTTTTTTTTTAAAGATTTTATTTATTTATTTATTTGACAGATAGAGATCACAAGTAGGCAGAGAAGCAGGCAGAGAGAGGAAGGGAAGCAGGCTCCCTGCTGAGCAGAGAGCCTGATGTGGGGCTCGATCCCAGGACCCTGAGATCATGACCTGAGCCAAAGGCAGAGGCTTTAACCCACTGAGCCACCCAGGCGCTCCTTTAATCACCTTCGTGTTCATTAACTGTGTTTCTCATCATGTATGGATGCTATAACATGTAAGTAAGTACCTCCTTTTATTTACATCTATTTACATAATGTGGACTATAGCAGCTGATCTCACCCAGTTGAAAGCCTAAAATGCCATTATGCATGGACAACACTTTTTGGCCTGATAAATGATACTGTAGAATAATATAAGTAACTGGGCAGTATTATTACTTTAAATGTACAGAGTGGTATTATTTAATCTGTGAAGTATTATCTATTAAAAATCTGCACTTTGGCTCCCTTTTACTCCTGATAGCCTTGTCTTTTGACCCCTCCCCACCGAAATGCTTTCCCCAAATTCAAGTGTCTCCTAATAGCTAAACCCTGTAGCTTTTGCTTTAACTTCATTATTTAAAAAAGTTTTTATACTGACTTATTTTGCAAGTGCATAAAAGTCATCAGACTGACCACAATGTAAACAACTGGCCAAATTATTTTTCAATATAGTGTTCCTGTTTTCACAGCGAACCATTCTTCTAAATACCAGGGATAATTTTAAATTTTTATTAGACTGTATTCGGGAAGATTCTACACTTAGACCTATCTTACTGTCACTTCTGTAACAATACACCTTCGATCTACCTTGTAATTATTATTTTTTATGATTCTCTCACTTGTGTGCACTGGGAACAAATGTAACAATAAACACTCTCAAGTTGAATTAGAAAGTATTCACAAAAGCCATCAGGCTTCTCAGAAGATTCTAATGTGAACTTCTGAGATCAGCTTTTGCTTGGAGAAATAAATAAAAGCAACTTAAAGGCAAGTGAAGGCAAACAGAAGCTTTACATCCACTCAGAAATGCATGCTATACCTAACATTTCTTTCTAGCCCAGTATATTGACTTCTCTTGAGATACTTCTGCCCATCACCACTAGATCTTCCACTTCAAAAGGTCCTAATTTTAACCTGCATAACGCCGGTGATCACCACCTGCAAGTTTCAGCTCATATCCCTGCTGTCTGGCTAGCTCTTTTAATCTAGGATGAGCTCTGTTTCTCAGTACTCATCAGTGTTTCACTGGCCTTAGGTAATGTCTGATTGGCTGTAAACATCCAGTTGGCAGCCTGGTCCCCTCCAGGCCCAGCGCTTCCAATGGAGTTCTTTTTTTTTTTTTTTTTTTTTTTCCCCCAAGAGCAGAATGCCAAGGGCAACCTGGAAAAGGGGGATGGGGGTGGGAGGCATGACTTTCAGAAGATAAATGGGGGCATTTCTGCTCTACCATCTGAAGAAAGGCAAACAGCTCCCTTTTCCACATCAGCGTTTCTCAAGGGATAGCTTGCTGGGTGGAACTGAGGAGTGAGGTTCTAAAAAATGCCCTTTCCTACCCTTCAAGAAGGTGGCACGGGGCAGCCCTTGGAACTTAGAAGAGGAGAGAAAGAACCAAGGACGCCCCCATCAAGATGCCAACTCACCTAATCGCCACTAACCTCTCCCCGATTAGGGCGAGGCCGGCCCCAAGCAAGGTCAGCACCAGCAGCTTCCCCATGGTCTCCGGTGCCCGGGTGCACTGTGGCGAAGTGCAGGTGCCTAGCACTCCCGAGGGCGTGGCGGGCAGGCTCCCGGCTCCGCCCCCTGGATGGCGCCCGCCCCCCCCCCCCCCCCCGGGGCCGGGGGCTGCCCCGGGGCCAAAGCTGGGGGCCCGGTCACCCGCCCCGCCCCGCCCCCCCGCCCAGAGTTCAAGGCCATTTCCACGCACCCGGTCGCGGGACTCCTGTTCAAGGCTCCCCGTACGGAGAGAGAGAGCCCGCGGGACCGCAGCTTTGGCAAGAACACACCCATCCGTCGGTGGGAGGATAGAGGAAGTTTGTTGCTAAAAGCTGCGAAATTCAACCTCAGCTCCTCGAATGAACAGAACCGGAAACCCAAGGGTCAGGAGACGGCGGGGAGCTGAGTTCAGAGCCGAAAACTTCGCGTTTCTGGAAGGCAAGACGAAAGAGGAGCCCCAACATTGATCCCGAGACAGTGGGCGGAGCAATACTGAAAGATAACCGCGGCAAAGAGATTTAACTCACCCTTCTCCAAGATTTGGGGCGCGGGGCCTTATTTCCTGGCCTTTCTGCCCTGTCTCAGAATACTGAATATGGTGCGTGCCCAGTTCCGTTTATTACTGGGTGGATTTGCGAGTGTCCGTGGCCGTCCCCATCATTGATGGGATAAAGAACATCAGGGGGAGTGAAGGAAAAGAAGTAGATAGGTAAGAAGAAGATGAGCGAAGTGGGAAGTTAGCCTTTCAAAAGCCTCCTTGATTCTTCTTTCTTCTGGGTCTTCAGTTCCTACCAACAAAGAATGAATTTTCCCCTCTCATCGTGAGGATTAAGTTGGAAGGAAAAGGGCTGGCTGGAGGTTGGGGAGACTTTAGGAGTTAGGACACAGCAACATAGCATCTTCAAGCGTGATGTTTTTATTTACCAAGAGAAAGAAATAATGGTTCTTTTGAGTTCAACTGAGTAAATACTGTTTAGGGAAAAGAATTTACCAGACCTGGAAATAGTAAGACAAGCAAAGGTGGTCTCTGACTTATGGGACGCATGATTACAGCATGAATACATAATTATGGCATGAATAACAATGCCTACCACCTACACAGCACCTACCATGTGCCTTGCATTGTGCTTAGTACTTTGCCTAGGTTAACTCTCTTCTAATTCTCAGAACCACCTCTGAGGCAGTTAACATTATCCCAGTTTTATAGGTGAGAAAAACTGAGGCACAGAGTGGCTGTGTAACTTCCCCTAGGTCACACAGGTGGTGAGTGGCAGGTCAGGGCGTGGGCTCCAGAGCCTCTGCCCTTCACCATGCTGCTTCTGTGAGGGCTGGGCAGGAAGGAAAGCTGTACTCAAGGAGCGCTGTAACATCTAGAGTTGTACTGATAATTATTTTTAAGATGACTAATTCTAAGAATTCAAACAGAGGAAGAATTGAATGCTGTTTTCATAAGGCTTCCAGAAGAGAGAGATGAAGAAAGGAACCTTGCCAAAGGTGAAGGGTCCATACGTGTGGTGCAGGCTTGCATGCAGGGCCTGGGGCTCAAGCTGCCTGGGTTTGGATCCAGCAAGCCTTAGATGCCCAGCTAACTTGTTTATGCTTCAGATTCCTCTTTGGTAGAAGAATATCTGCCTCATAGGTGGCTTAAAGTCAAATGTCATGTTGAGTGCAAAGTGCCTAACACTATACGTTGTGAGGAGTCAATAAGCATTGACCATCAATTAAATCTGAGCCTCCACGTGAGAGTGTTGGCTCGGATCCCGGTCCCATTGATCACTGGGTCTTCCAGTGCCGGGCACGGAACTGTGTACTTAATAGATGCTCTATAAAATTGATTAGATGGATGAGTGCAAGATGTTGGACTTGGCGTAAGGAAAAATTGGGAACAGAGACACTGAGTGCATGATGAAATAGTAATAATAGGTGCACGTATTTTTGCATGTTTTCTCATATTCCTTCTTGCCATCCTCGCTTTATGAATAAGGAAAGTGAGGCCTAGAGATTGAGTAATAACTTGCTTACATAACTAAGAAGTGTCAGGTACCCCATTTGGACTCACTCAGGTCAAGAGACTCTAGAGTACGCGTTCCTTATCAGTGTGTTCCCTGCCTCATAGCATAGCAGGAAAGCAGGGACAAGGGAAGAGGCAGATTCTTGGGCAATGTATTGCAGGTGTTGTGTCATCTATAACCTGGTTTAACATTCTTCACTTTAGGCAGAGATAAGGATGTGTATGCGTGTGTGTGTGCACATGTACGTACATAATTTTAAACCTTAGAGGTGGTTAGTTATCATTTGAAAACCATAATCAGTAATTCAAATCCCCAACCCTGGTAGTTAGCATTAAAAGATTCCCAACTTTGGAGACCACTGTATCAAGCGTCACCATTTAAATCTGCACCTGGAGAGTTCACTCATTAGCTCAAGATACTAGAGATAATTATTCATGGGGAAGCCACTTAGCAAGACATATTATATAAGCAGCTCCTGCTCTGTGTAGAGTAAGAATGAGAACAAGGTTCTCATACCAGTGGAGTGGGTTTTGGCTGTCTTGGTCCACTTGAGTAGCTGTAACAAAAAAGCATGAGCTAAATGGCTTATAAACAACAGACTTTTTTATTTCTCATAGTTCTGAAGTCCAAGATCAAGGTGCCAGCAGATTCACTGTCAGGTAAGAGCCCACTGCCCAGACACACCTTTGCTGTGTCCTAACCTGGCAGAGGGGGCAAGAGAGTTCTAGGGGGCCTTTCTGTAAGGGCGCCAGTTCCATTCATGAAGGCTGTACCCTCATAACCTAATCACCTCTCAAAGCCCCCACTTCCTAATACCATCTCCTTTGGGGTTAGGCTTTCAACATAGGAAGTTTGGGGAGACACAAAGGTTAAGACCATAGTGGCGACTCTAGAACACTCTTGTGTGCTGTGTCCACCTATTGATGAGGAAGATTCTGCTTTTTGATCCGAGGTGAACTGAATCCTCCTTTCAAAACTTTGTCTCAGACCAAGGCTTTTCGTCACATACCTGTTGAAATAGCTTGTTGAAATACGAAGGACAGAGCTAGATCTTCATTGAGTTTCCAGAACAATAGATCCTAGGATGATCTTCACACCTCCTTGGAAATAGACATTTGTGCGTGACAGATTTGGGTTTAAGCCTTGTGTTCACTGGACCCTCTACATAGCAGTGAGTGGGATTGACTGCATGACCAGAAGTAGGATTTAATCAGGCAGAAGGAGTGTTGGTGAGGCCCAGAGAAAGGCAGCCTGGTTTCTGCACAGTCCTGGGGAATTAAAACCAGAATGAAGTAAGTCCGGTAAGGACAGAGCAGGAGTTCCCAAACCACGTGATAAGAATCACTTGGAAGACTTGTTAAAACACAGACTGCTAAACTTTAACCCCAGAGTTTGTGATTTGTTAGATTTGGGGTAGGTCTTGAGAATTTGCCTTGAATTTGTAATGTTGTTGGTACTGGTCCAGGAACCACACTTTGAGGACCACTGGGCTAGAGCATAAAAGACTATGAGGAAGATGGTGAGAATTGAATCCAGAGAGGTTGGTAGGGCCTTGTAGGCCAAGTGAGGAAAGTTGAATTATATCCCAGGGGTCATGGGAAACCACAGGAGTGACATGACCCAGCAAATGCTTTAGAAACATCACTCTGCAGTAAGAATGGATTAAGGAGGAGCTAGGGAGCTTGCCTCTCCTGGAGATGGGCAGAATGGTTGGTGGCCTTGGGGAACTAATTGGAGAAGCAATGGGGATTAATTAGTTCCTAACATCCTTAGAACTGAATAGCTTTGAGAAATATTTGGGAAGGGGGCTGATAGTATCGGCAAATGGTTGGATGTGGGCAGAGGAACAGCATAGAACAGGGACAAATTAAGGAAGGTGCTTAGGTGTGGAGAATCTGGTGGAGAGGGTTACCTATTCATGGGATCTGAGGACCAGAGGGCAAGGAGAAATAGATAGAAAAGTAGGGGGTCCGTTGAAAGCTCTGATTTCCATTAGGATATTTTTGGAAAAATCTTCATGTTTTCTTCAAAGTAGAACAACAAAAGTCACATTTATCATGATCATCGCTTTCAGGCTCTGAACTGAGTCCACACAATAAATTTGTTATTGGCTTATTGTTAAAATAAATTTGTTTATTGTTACATTAGCTCTTTCTGGAGAAAAATCTGAGTAATGTCTCCTGCAGCTCAATACTGTGAGGGATGGGATAGCTGGCTTCCATGATTTTGGAGCTTGAAAACTGTGTACTGCTTTCTGCTCTAATGAGAAACATCATTTTCTTGTGCTTTCAAACCCTATCAAGAATTGCATAACTGATGACTTACAGTTATGAACTGGAAAAATAATTCCATCCTTTACACATGAAGAGCTCCTAGGAACTGATCTAAAAAAAAAAAAAAAAAGAAGCCAACATCTTCAAAGTTAAAAAAATAAAATAAAATAAAGACAAGGAAGTTCACAGAAAAAATAACCACAAATCTCCTTGAATATCTGAAAGTGTGCTTAAACATGGCTGTACTAACGGAAGGAAAGCTAAAACACATTGGGATATCATGTTTGCAAACAAGTGAGAACTGGACAACAAAACCTGTTGGTGATGCTTTGGGGAATTCCTACACATTGCAAAATGTTACAACTCCTGTAGTGAGTTATGACATATCTGTCAAACATTCAAGTGAAATTACCTTGGACCCAGATTGAACCCCTTTTGATTCACTTCCAGGAATTTATCCCATAGATACACCTGCACACATACAAAACAAGGTATGCACACAACTACTCACTGCAGCACTGTTTGTAACAGCGAGTAATTGGACTGGTTAAATAAACTAGGGCATCCTAGGCAGGTATAAAATAGGATTAGTGAAGATCTCTTTGTAATGATACAAAAACATATCCACACATTATCCTTAGGTAAAGGGAATATATGGAACTCTATGTAGTCTGCTACCTTCTGTGACAAAACGGGAGAAAAGAAGCATATATATTCATATCAGCTTGTTTTTATACACAAATATTGGAAAGAGGGGTGCCTGGCTGGCGCAGTTGGTAGAGTGTGCAACTCTTGATCTCGGGTTGTGAGTTTGAGCCCCACGTGGGATGTAGAGATTACTTAACAATAAAATCTTTAAAAAAGTTCAGAAGATATACACAAGAAACTAACAAACTAGTTTCCTATAAATAGGGCAAATGGAACAGGAGGAGACTTATTATAACAGGAAGAGACCTTATTATATCAGTTTGATCTTTGGAACATGTAAGAAGACATGCCTATGAAAACAATGACTCACATGGCGGATGAAAGTGCCTAAATTCACACACACGATGTGGAGATGCTCTTGCTTCACGCGTCAGTGGGGACACTCGTTTCAAAGAACAACAGACTGCATGTAACACTTACGCTGTGGCAAGATGCCAGATGTGATCACATCCCCTCACTAGACCCTGTGTT